TTACGACGCAGTCAGTCGTTGGCGCCATTTCAGACCGGTTCTCATGTTCAGGTATGGCCCTAAAGGAAGGTTTACCTAGCATCAAGGTTGAGCTATCATCCCAATTCTACTGCAAGCTTCAATTTAACAAGACTGGCGCTTTGTGGAGACATGAAATCCCAACCCAGGACCGGACACAAGCGTAACGTCGAAATCGAAATGCAAAACATGAGTCTAACATGCCAGCGAACTATAGCCCGAAATCACCGAACCGTACCGTACGATGTCAAGAATGTCAACTTCCTTACCATCTCAAATGTTCTGGACTGAACACGAAGAACTATCTACAAATGCAGTCAAATATGGGCTATTCGTGGATTTGTGACTTGTGTCTGCTTGCTACTCTTCCTGTTGATTTGAGTTTCAGCTCGGATTTTTCTGAAAGCGATGTAGCAAATCGACATAATGATGTGGTATTATGCAAATCAGTACCAGAGGTTATGCAACGGAAAAAGAAAGACTCCAGAGAAATTCTGGTGATGCATTTAAATGTCAACAGCCTTCAAAATATGATCGAGGAGGTCAGGATGCTGGTTGAGCAATTCAAGGCCCAGGTGGTCTTCTTAGGGGAGACAAAGATAGATGGAACGTATCCGAATAGTCAGTTTGCTATTAACAACTATCATTTATATATATAGAAATGTCTGTGTCAAGGGCGGAGGAGGTCTGATGGCATGTTTTTCATCTGTACTTCCATCAAAGCTTTTAAAGCAACCAAAGGTGTTCAAAACAATTGAGGTTATACCAATCCAATCTCAATTCGGCGGTAAGGATGTTATCGTGATGGGCATCTATAGATCTCCGAAAGTGAATGGGAAGAACTATTATGAAACTCTGGAAAAGGAATTACATGAAATCTGTTCTTGGATATCCCTTCAGAGACAGTTCTTTATTATTATGAGAGATTTGAATCTCAATAAGCTCAGACCAGGAGAAAAGGAAGGAAAAATTTTGTGTGATCGTGAGGAAGTGTATGGCCTGGAATGTCTGATCAAAGAACCTACGAGGATCACAGAGAACAGTTCCACTCTGCTAGATGTTATTCTAACAAACGAACCAGATTTTTTTCGAGAAAGAGGTGTGTACAACCCAGAAATTAGCGATCATCATATGGTCTATGCGTCGCTGAAGGAGAGAGCAGTGCAACACAAGACCAGATTTCTGAAGGTGCGTAGCTATAAGAACTTTAATGAGGAGAAGTTCAAAGAAGATCTGAAAATGGCCCCTTGGCATGTGGGTGAGAGTTTCGAATCTGTTGAGGAACAGTACGAGTATTGGGAAGCACTACTAAATAAGATTGTCGATGATCATCTACCTACCAGAGACATGAAAGTGAGGGCACATAATGTACCATACATGACGAGAGAGTGGAAAAATGCTATTAAAGCTAAAAGACGCTTCTCAAAAAAATTCAGTAAAAATCCCACACCAGAGAATTCTGCATTGAAGAGGAAGTGGCGCAATGAGGCCACTAAAGAAAGAAGAAAAGCAATCAGGCAGTATTGGAAAAAGTATCAGATAAAGTCTGATCCAAGAAAGTTCTACAGAACGTTTAGACCATTCACTGACTTCAAGAACAAACGAGGAGACAGCTGTAATATCTGCTTGAAAGTTAATGATGTGCTGGAAGGGGATCAAACCAAAGTAGCTAACCACTTTGCTAATTTTTTCTTTCACAATGCCTGATGGAATTGGAGGGGACCACTTAAATGACTGTGCGGAGAGTGATTTCGTGAATCACAACTCTCTTCTCAATATATCGACTAATCTCAACAAGAGAGATCTACATGAAAACTACTTTGAATTTAACGAAATTACCTGTGAAGATTTACGAAAAGTCATGAACGACGTAAACCCCAATAAGTCAAGGGGATATGACAGGATGGACCCTAAGATCCTTAAAGTAGGCGCCACTGAGTTAGCTCGATCTCTTGCTGTGATTTTTAATCAAGCGATTAGAAATGGAGAATGGATAGCAAAGCTTAAGCGTGGAGAATGGATACCGGCACATAAGAAGGATGATAAATAAAGGGATATAAACTTTACGCCTATCACGGTGCTGCCATGCGTGAATAAAGTCTATGAAGTATTGCTGGGCCAACGAGTCAGTAAGTTTATGAATGACAGACTCAGTGATGCTATCACTGCCTATCGTGCAAAGAATAGCTGTGAGACCAAGCTGATAAGGCTGACCGAAACATGGAGAGCAGAACTAGACAGTAAGAAAATTGTCGGCATATTGTCATCGGATATGAGCAAGGCTTTTGACTCTCTTAGCCCACAGTTGCTCATAAATAAACTGCAGGCCTACAATTTCTCTGATAAAGCCATACAGCTCATACGATCATATTTTCAGGGAAGAGAGAATAGAGTAAGGATAGGTTCTGTAACAAGTGACTGGGTTGGGGTGAAGAGAGGATGTCCACAAGTTTGGACCACTTATGTGGAATATTTTCCAGAACGATATGCCTAACATAATATCAAACGCCAACGTCTCGATGTATGCAGATGACCATCAGGTCTTTGTAGCAAATGAAACAACGAAAAGCGTGGAGAAGATACTGGTGGACAATGGAGAGAGGATGACTAAATGGTATCAAGATAATCTTTTAAAAGTCAATTGCGATAAATATCAAGCTATGGTTCTGGGAAATCCAAAAGGAGAAAGGAACGTTTATCTGGATATATGTGGCGAAAAAGTCGAACAGTCGCAATCCATCAAGATCGTAGGTGTAAACCCAGATGAAAACCTAAACTTTAGAGATCATAGACGTAGTGGTGTAAGAAAGTTGGCGGGATGATAGGAATATTAAGAAGGCTCAAAAATCTTATCCCAGTAAATGCCAAGTTACTTTTGTACAAATCAGCTATCATGCTACACCTGACCTACTGCCATCTAGTGTGGCATTTTTGCACGGCATCTGATAGTCGTAAATTGGAGCGTCTACAAGAAAGAGCCTTAAGATTAGTGTATAATACTACTACCGAAAGTTATGACACCTTGCTGAAAAGAGCTAAGTTAACTACTTTACAAAATAGAGGTTGCAGGATATACTCATTTTGATGTTTAAAGTAAAAAACAAATGAACAATTAACCAAATTGCGGATACTTTTAATATCAACGAGGGAGAATACTAATAGCAAGAGATATAACCTAACAAATGCAGATTTTGTCTTACCTCGGTTTAAAACTGTTACTTATGGAAGACATTCTCTCAGATTTCTCAGACAGCAATTGAGGTCAAAATTAAGCAAGGGGGAGAGAAATATTGGAACTTTGGCAACTTTTAGGACAATGATAAATAAGAAGGATGTAACATCATTTCTTGAAGGATGTGGGAGTTTAGTTAATTCATTTTAGCCTCCGAGCTCATATATGTATTTAGTTTTTATATTGTGAATTTAGAACTTAGCTTCAAAGTGTTAAAGAGTAAATTTAGAACTTAGTTTTAAAGTGTAAAAGAGTACTTAGCTTCAATAGTGTAAATTTCCGGCTTTTGTTATATGTTTTAGAGTATTTAATTAATTTCTTCTAATGATGTAATTTCGTTTTAAAGGTGTCCCCAATAAGGTCCAATAGCTAGGCACTAGAACGACTAGACACTATAATAAAGGTTATGTATGTATGTATGTATAGCCCATTTAATGTCGCTTATGAGACTGGCTAAGCAGAATTAATGCGAAATGCAACTTTGAGAAAAATTATATTGACTCCATCTGCCGGAGTCAACACCCTTACTAGGGCCATATTCAGACTAGACATCTCATCTCATTCTTTAGAAATGGGAAATAGATGGATCATGTTTTGAAACAACTGCATAGGCGAGCGTTTTAGTCCCCTGGGGGCAAATTTACTTGCATTATTACATTATAACTGGAGGTGCGCTCTTCAAGATTCTAAGTAGATACACAGAAGTTATGTCATTATGGGACACTTTTTTCCTTAAAATTTTTCCCGATTCCTGTCACCCTCGTCCTCGGGGCTTGCCTCTTAGCAATGTGAGAACCCTTTCCGGCCCGGCTTCCCTAAGGAAAGAACCCTGGGAAGAAGTCAAGTTCTTGCATCATCTCTTTCAAAGTGCGCATTATATATTCCAGCAAAGTGAAAGGAAAGTCATCTGAGATTTATTATTTCGCTAACTTTAGGACCTAATGGCTATCTATCTACGGGCTCTTATACCCAGCATCACAAAAAATCTCCCATAGAATCTACCCCGTCATCAGAAGAACTATAAATAAGGACATTTTTATATAGAATGGGTTAAAAGAAAGCCTCTGGCTTGGCTTATCTTCCCTATGTTCTTGGCGTCACAGAACCACTCACGCAACTTCTTCGACAGAAGGTATTAATGTCGCAAGTAAACTTTCCAAGACCCTGTAACACAAAATCCATTGGCCACCTAGTGATCTCCAGAAAAAAAAAAGATTGTATTTGAATTTTCTTGTGTCAAGCATGGAAAAAAATATTCAATATATCAGGTCGAATATCAGCTCACTTATCCGGTCTAATAACCATTCTACTCTTATACTTCATCGCTTGCATTTTTAATGATTTTTTCTGATACGTTTTTTCTTTAAGTAAATGAATGGATATGTAGTGGTCTTCAAAACTCAAATATCGAATTTTAGGGTCATTCTCCAAGAGCAAGCTTTCTGAAATAATGCTGTACATTCGTCCTGCACCATTGATTTTCCTCACATTCGTGAAACTTCATATCTCTAACATATCCTTAAATTTCTTGCGCTTTATATCATCATTTGAGAAAGTTTGTCGGGAAAATAGTGCACACGACAATCCCGAAAGGTAATATGGAATATGATCAATACGCTATTCCTGACACTGTCGCTGTCAACCAAACTTTTTTGTTTTCCTTTCATACAACTTGCAAACATACGACCATGGCCTCTCGTGCCATTCTTTCAAATTTCTTTGAAGAACAGTGAACTCAAAACCACCCACATTACCTTTCGAGATAGTCTCGAGCACTTTTTCCGGCAACCTTTCTCGAAATAGCTGTATGTGCACACGTACTGACTCTTTGAACCAGCCAGCCAGCAGGAGTATCATCATCATCATCATCATCATCATCATCATCATCAGTATAGTCAACAACAAAATCATCATCATTATCATTGACATTTCTGATTGTTAGTTACAGTCAAGGCAGGTCAAGCGTACCCCTCAAGATACCATTAATGAATTGATTATTTCAAAAAAGAATCCAGTGGTCGTTCCTGTAACAAGTGTCAAATTCAAATCGGCATTCCTGCATGCGAATTTTTTTTTTATGAGAATATCTCTGTATATGGTGAGATTGAAAATCTTTGAATGGTTATAACAACTGCTTCGAAGACCTTTACATCAAATTCTGGTAGATATTGAATTAATTGCCTCGCGTGTGAATTCACGACCATTCACGGTTCATTACGCTTGTAAGAATGCACAGATGAATCTGAAATCTACAACTACCAACAGATTTAACTTTTGATTCATAAATTCATTAATGGAATCTTGGGCGCTACGCTTGACCGGGCTTGTCTGTAATTAAACCACCCGTCTTACCTGTTGTAAAATGCAGGCTTTAGTACGGACAAACTCCTGAACAGCTGTAATCTCTTCTTGGCTTGCAGGCCAAAAGTACTTTACCCACTTACAAGGATCAGTAAACGGTATGACACGATTAATCACTGGGCCAGCTACACCTGTTCCTACGGTCAAACCTGTTAAGAAAGTTATAATAAGATCAAGAAATATTAGCTTTTTTATAGCAAATAAGAGGAAAACTTCAGCAAACTTATAGTTAATATACACCCCAGACACTCATTCATATGAGATGGTCGACTGTTTGAAAAACAATTTGTCTCATGGTTTGTTGGTCGCTCAATATCGGTGTTTTTAACTTTTAACATTTTACTTTGCACTGTATATTTGTGTTGGACGTGGCTGCATTGCAGTTGTTGGTCGCTCAATATTGGTGCTTTTTCTAACTATTTAACTTTTAACCAATTTTATTTGTTTTAATGCCTACAACACTCTCATTTACACACACCCTCCCTCCCCACCTTACCCACTATTTAGTGGAGACTTGGGAACCCTTTCATTAGGGATTCCATACCACACCTGTAATGCCACAAAGGTTGCTAGAGAAACTACTGTTTTTTTGTTGTTGTTTTGTTTTGTTTTTTGTTTTTGTTTGTTTTTGTTTGTTTTTTTTGTTTTTTGTTTTTTTTTTCAAAGATTTGCTGGCATTGGTGTGCACGTACATATGTATCTATGTACGTTTATACAACGATGTGAATGTTACGCGCTTTGTGATTGGTCGTTAACCATGATCTATCAGAGTATACCAAGAGATCATTCTCTCTTGAACGTTCAGATACATGGATGACGTCACGGTAAACTTGTTTTCTTTGTTTTGTTCAACATGGAGCGCGGTTTTTAAAATTTTTGTGAGATTATTTCGATTTTTCAATAAGCAAGTGAAAGCCTGGTAAAAAGTTTAGCAGGAGCTATTTACTAGGACGAAACCTGGAGAAATGGAGCCAAAAAGAGTTCATGACAACTTGAGAATACCTAAACTACAAGAAAACTTCACAACAGTTGCCATCGTGTGTCATCGTTACGAGAGACTCGCTGTTTTGCAAAATGTTTTCGCCTTTATTTCTCTTTAAGCAAGTGAAGACGTTGGACAATTTGTCGCACAAACCGTATACAAATAAGAGTAACAAAAAAATAAGAAGCAGGAAACGAGAAATAGCGTTTGGGACTTAAAATATGCCTAAACTAGCAGAAATCCTCGAACAATCAAGCGGTACGATTCAGGTAATGTGTATCGGTCTTTTTACTTTTCTGATAATTGTATAAAACCAATAGATTCCATGTTTCCGTGGGGCTGTTAAGTAATAGATCACAGAAGACGTCAAAATTTGGTAAAAACATCAGTAACACATTCGCCTGCGGCTAGTGTGCCACTTCTTTACCATTTTGCTATATTTTGACGTCATCTGTGATCTATAACTGAACAGACGCACGACAACATGGAATCTATTTGTTAAATATGTTGCAGTTTAATGAAATTATAAAGAAACACTAACTTAACACTTATAAAACTACCTGCAGCAATGGGTAGAGTCAATGGTAGGGCTCCAGCAACAGCAACGGCAGAACCTGAAATATAACATCAACATGAGGTAAATTTTTCACGGGTTATTTAATAATACTTTTTATTAAAGAAAGCTACGAAAGGTACACTTTTCTCTGTGGGCCTTTTTAATCCCTTCAATTATTGGTCCTTTGGCACCGTTGTTAATTACAGGCGCAGTTTTCTATGTGTAAGATTTTTAACTCATACTTTTTCCTCTGTGGTAGCTACTGTAGAAAAACCTGTATCTAGCTTTAACTAATAATTACTATAAAGCTCGAATTAACTGATCGTAAATAATTTTGTTTGCAAAATTAGAGCTTTAAACCTCACCTTTTAAAGGTATCTCATTCATTGCAGTATAGAGCATTAATTTGGAGCATTCAACAGGACCTGTGCTGGAACTCATCGTGTGTGTTTTAGAAACATAATGATGATCGCAATTGAGAGTACTTTGATCGTTTTGGATTAATAATGCCAAATGAAGTGCAAATATATTTACAAACCAGTGGGAGATAAGAACATGTAAAGATGGCGGGTATCGTGAATAAGGTCTGTTAGTAGACAAGTGGTAGTTAGAAACTGGGTTCAGTTGGTCATAAATTGTAAAAACTTACTTACCCTTGGCGGTTAACAATTACACTTTATTAATATCGTAACAAAAAGAACGAAAGAACACTTAGAAAAAACAACAACAACACAAAAAACATCACTTTGATAGGACTCGAACAGGAGAATGTACTTAAACTGACGTAATACGAACCCTAAATAGATTTCAGAAAGTTCTGTTAAGTAGTCCGAAACTATTGTAGTGTACTGTTTTTAGTTTCGGACTTTTGTTCCATCGATATACCATGGAAAATATTTATACTGATGGACAAACGCTAACAGAATTTTAATTGAAAGATAAAAGCAAGATTTTTCACTAGACTCGATTTTCTTTTAAAAAGTGGGGTCCACGTTCACTAAATATAAATATATTCGATAAACAATCGTTCAAATACGTATTTCCAATTAAAAGCAGTTACTGCTGGGGATGTACGGGCCTCACAATAAATCTTATGCGATCTTATGCGGGCCTCATAGTAAATCTTATAGGAAACAGAGAAAAAAGAGAGGCGGACTTAAAGCCTTACTTCGCTTCGTCGTTACCTTCCAGAGACTGGCCGTACTAAAGGTATATACCCTATACCCAAAGGTATAGACCCTACAAGCAGTTGCTGTTGCATCCAAGATAGGAAGGAACGATATACTATTTCTCTCAATTTATAGGTCGCCTAGGCAAACAACCGGAAGTGAAAAGAAATCGTATCTGCGAACAGTCGAGGAGTGAATGCAAATGATATATGCCAGTGGGCGTGTTTTCAAAAGCAAACTGTTGTTATTCTGGGTAAGTTGAATATGAATAGATTGAGAGCCAACTGTGGTGAAGGAAAAAGATTAAGGGATTTAGAGGAATTGAACAACTTTCACTGCATGATCAACGAAGCAACCAGAATCACTGCTCATTCTAAGTCATTCTTGGATGTTATTCTTACGAATCATCCTGATTTGTTCAAGGAATGTGGGACTTACGAGCCCGAAATTAGTGATCATCGATTAATTCATGGCGAATTGAAGGAGAAAGTTCAGAAACATAATACCGAGACTACAATCTTCCGACAAACAAAGAACACTGATTTGGAAAAGCTTAATCAGTATATGAGTGAAGCCCTTGGCACGGTGGAGACATTTTCAGCAACATTGACGATAAGTATGATTATTGGAAGGGACTTGTCAAGAATGTTGTTTATGATCATACGCCTATTAGAAGAAAAAGAGTAAGAGAAACGGATATCCCGTATATGACGGTAGAGTGGAAGAAAGGAATAAAGAATAAGAGGAAGTATGCGATTCAGTTCGCAAAGAGCCGTACCCTGAGGAATTTTGAACTGAAGAAAAAACATAGAAACATTCAGAACATTGCGTCACTCTAAAACAATAGGAACAATAGGCTTGCCTAGACTTGCCCGGTCTCTTTTAACCCTGATTGGCTCATGTAGAATCTATTATGTCTCAAAATAAAAGCGGGCTCTCCATTCAGCATATTACTCTTGCAATCGCTTTGCTAAGGAAAAAGTCTTACTATCACCAATATTCTTTAAACATTGCTCCAAACATGCAAGTCGAATCGAGCTGTAAACTCTTTATTTCAGGTTTGTCTGACTATTACAGAACCGTTTTCTCCTTTCTATCTCGAGGAAATGAAAGTCTTGTCATTTTCACGCACGGTTAATCAGTTAATCATGCGAGTTCGCAAGCCCAAAGTTGAATACAAATTAACTCTACAGCTAGACCCAAGGGAGCACCTTGAAAATAGTCAAAGAAATCAAGCTATCTTTTTTTTTTACCTCGTTTCCCTCCTCAATTTTTTTAATTCCCGCCTCCACAATTTTATTATTTTCGCTCCTCATTCGTGAATTCCCTCCTCCACAATTGTAATATTTTCCCTCTATTTTTTTATTCCCTCCACCACAACTTTAATATTGTCGCTCAATTTTATCATTTTTCCTCCTCAATGTTTTTATTCCCTCCAACACAATTTTTTATTATTTTCCTTCCTCAATGTTTTTTATTCCCCTCCACCACAATTTTAATATTTTCCCTCAATTTCATTATTTCCCCTCCTCAATGTTATTATTCCCTCCTCTACAATTTTATTATTTTCCCTCCTCTTCCTCCCCCTCCTCCTCCTCCTCACTTCTATTGTTTTCCCTCCTCCACCTCCTCATTTTGTTTTTCCTTTTCCTCCTCATTTTGATTGTTTTGATAGGGTCGATGTGGGGTCGATGTAGGGTCGATGTAGGATCGTTATTGTTTTCCCTCCTCCTCCTCCACATCATTATTGTTTTCTCTCCACCACCACCACCACCACCACCACCGCGCCACCACATTTCTATAGTTTTCCCTCCACCACCACCACCACCACCGCCACCACATTTTTATTGCTTCCCTCAAAAGGCCAAAGAGGCCAAAATCAGGCCTAAAAGGCCAAACTCAAGGAGGGAAACAATAAAAATGTGCTGGCGATGGAGGGAAAACAATAGAAATGTGGTGGCGGTGGTGGTGGAGAGAAAACAATAATAATGTGGAGGAGGAGGAGGGAAAACAATAACGATCCTACATCGACCCTACATCGACCCCACATCGACCCTACATCGACCCTAACAAAGCAATCAAAATGAGGAGGAAAAGGAAAAACAAAATGAGGAGGTGGAGGAGGGAAAACAATAGAAGTGAGGAGGAGGAGGGGGAGGAAGAGGAGGGAAAATAATAAAATTGTAGAGGAGGGAATAATGACATCGAGGAGGGGAAATAATGAAATTGAGGGAAAATATTAAAATTGTGGCGGAGGGGAATAAAAAACATTGAGGAAGGAAAATAATAAAAAATTGTGGAGGAGGGAATAAAAACATTGAGGAGGAAAAATGATAAAATTGAGCGAAAATATTAAAGTTGTGGTGGAGGGAATAAAAAAAATAGAGGGAAAATATTACAATTGTGGAGGAGGGAATTCACGAATGAGGAGCGAAAATAATAAAATTGTGGAAGCGGGAATTAAAAAAATTGAGGAGGGAAACGAGGTAAAAAAAAAAAAAGATAGCTTGATTTCTTTGACTATTTTCAAGGTGCTCCCTTGGGTCTAGCTGCAAAGCGATTGCAAGAGTAATATGCTGAATGGAGAGCCCGCTTTTATTTTGAGACATAATAGATTCTACATGAGCCAATCAGGGTTAAAAGAGACCGGGCAAGTCTAGGCAAGCCTATTGTTCCTATTGTAGTAGAGTGACGCTTATTAGTAAACCTATACCGAATTAGTATGCAGGAAGACACTGACTAGGCACTTAATTAGTATGGAGGAACCCATTTTTTCCCTAGGTTATCACAATAGATGACGTCATAGACTCGACCGTTATGCATATTAATAAAGGGAACCCACTTTTTGCGAGGGAACCCACACGGAACTCAAGGGGAACCCACCAACGAGGCTTATCTTTGCTGAAGCCCTACTACTGTCACCGACTTTATTTTTTCTATATTCCAAATTTGTGGACATGACAATTAATCTAAGCTTAATACTTTAGACAACAAGGATACAGAAACAATTTCCGCTCTCCGTTTTCGTCTTCATTGACTCTTTAGTTGTCTCTGCTTCACAAGACGCGGGTGGCTATACGATTTCCCACCAAAATAACCTCGAGTTCTATTTTGGTTGCAATACATGTTGGTTGAGTTATGTTACATTGGTATGCCTGTGGTGCGGACAGACAGTCGGTTGGGCGTACGGTCACGTGATTACCAAAATTTCTCGGATGAGTAGATTGCCAAATTTTCTTACCCATGGTGCTCCGCTTCACGCGCGTGGAGCTCCGCCATTAGTTAAAACTTAAAATTGAGGCAGCTGTATTGAGTCAAGAGAGAGTCAACTCTTGGATACGTATAATATGACTACCCAACACTTGTACTTACCAATGGCAGCCATTGTTCCATATCCGAGCATCTTGTAAAAAAAACTGGGTTTGGTCAAGCGTGAATGAAAATTATCGTCATTAAAAGTGAAATGTTTGTCCAACTTGAAATCTTTTTCTTGCCAGATGTAGTCAACTGTAACTGAAACTGGGACAGGCAATTCTTCAATTTCTTTTAGGCTGTTGTTAATGGCCAATGATATTTCTTTTAATTGCTTGTCATCTTTCACAATTTTGGCAAGCTCAGAATTGAGGCGTTTGCAATAATTTTCCAAAGCTCTTTCTCGCACACCCTCTTTTTCCATATCGCGAGCAATTTCCGCGTCAAATTCACCATCCTGCACCTTTTTGGCCAGTTGCTCTGCACTCTGCTTTAGGACACCTTCCATGTTTTTGAATTGGAGATCACACTCGTCTTTAACATCATTAACTTTTCTGCAAGTGTCATTTACGATATCTGCCAGTTTTTGCTTTCGGGCTTTTATGAATTTGATTAGCTCTTCCGACACACTGTTTGCTTCTGAAAGGATCCTTTGCAGCTGGAACTTTAACGTGTCAACTTTAATAGGTCCAGTAGAATCCTTCTCCAATTTCTTTTCAAATTTACGGAAACCATTTTTACCTTGCGACTCCCTCTATTTTTCAATGAAAGGTAGACAAAAAGGACAACTTGTCAATCGAAACTATTATTTTTATCATTATTAAGGTGAATAAACTGTGTGAAGTAAACAATTAAATATTTTAACTTCACCATCAGGTTTCACACAGTAAAAACCCGCGAGTAGTATTAGTTCTGCAAATTCTGTAAGTTCTGAACTGGTTAAAATAATTTTTCTAGAGTGTTCAAATTTTCAGAAGTAATGATATAATAGGGCCATTTATACGAGGAAAAATAAGACGCGTCTAACATAAGACGCGAACTTTTCGTATAAACGGCACATTATGATTTCGTCTAGAATAAGACGCGACTAAGCTAAGACGCGTCTTAATTTTGAACAGCCCTTAACACCTGTTATTAGATACGACGCGTCTTAGCGAAGCGAGAAAAACTTCGTATAAATGACCTTTGTGTCTTACATAAGACGCGAACGCATAGTACGCATGCATTAATTTTTGGCGGAAACATTTTCGCTTGCCGCGAGGGCGGACAGGGGGGCTTCTGGCAGGGAAAAGTTGTTTACAAATTACGACGCGTTTTCGTTTCCTCGGGTTACCATCTATTCTAAGACTTTTAAGCTTTATTTGTTTCTCCGCTCAAGTATAATGAGCACGCCGACAAGGGCAAAACGAAACACGTGATCCACGCTGAAGAAAAAGATTTTTTGTTGTTATGCAAAGAGAGGGCAATAGCAGTCCTCCTAGACAAATGTTGGATTGCCTTTGCTACGGGCAACATTTACATGAAAACGAGAAGTGGGGGAGGGACCGGTTAGTGCCTATTTTGTGGATATAATTAAGTTTTTGACTAGCATAAATTAACGCCGATGACGTCATATATCTCATTAAGATAGGATGATGTCATAGTTTATTTTCAGTTGGCATCAGATATTTAACAAGTTCTTTACCAATAACAGTCCATTGTTTTTATTGCCGCATTTTCAAATCCTTATTTGTAACGAACACTGGACGAAAAAATGGATTTACTAGGGTAGCCAAATTACAGCAAATGTGTAGCAAATACCACATTTGCACAATTTTGCGCAAGAGCAAAGATTGATATTGCACTAGATTTGCTATCCATAGCAATGACGGTAAATGCCACATTTGCACAACATTTACATCTTGGTGCAAAGATAATGGGCAGCCATGGAATTGAGGGTCATTTGCAGATGGTTCAAATGTGTAGGCAAATATGTTTCTTTGAACTATATTTGCACATTACGCAAATGATAGCGCAAATCTGCTGTTTTGCACAGCTTTTGCTTTAGGTGTAAAAGCATGTAAATCTGTTATCTTCAGAACGTTTACGCAGCTTTGCAAATGTGAGCGAAGTATCTAATTTGAACAATGTTTGCTTGGGTTATCATGGGTGATCAAATTTTCATAATTGAACCAGATTGCTTTGCATGGCAAATGTAACCAAAATCTTTGTATTAAACATGTTTGCTCACGAAGCAAATGTTAGAAAACCTAAACTTTGAACAAATTTTCTAGGGTGTGCAAATTTGATCAAACACAAGATTTTGCTTGTAGCGGCAAATGTGGTCAAAAGTCGAGTTTTGAACAAAGTTCCTTGGGCAGCAAATCTGATCAAACTGTTAGTATTGTACAATTTTTCGCTCAGGTAGCAAATATAATCAAATTCTGACTTTAATTTGGTTAGCAAATGTCATCAAACCCATAAAATTGAGCATGTTTTCTCCAGTAGCAAATGTAAATTCCAAGGTTTAAACGAGTTTGCTTGGGTTGTAGCAAATGCGATAAAATTTTAAAAATATTTTTAATTATAATATGGCTCACTTCAGGTTCTTAACAAGTGGCCATAATTAATCAAACATTAAAGTTACTGAAAGAAATTCTAGCAGTGACCTCCCATTAATGTTCAAATGATTTATTCCATAAACCAAAGTGGCTTACACATTACAGACATTACAAACTACAGTATAAAGCTGTACATACAGCTCTTCATATTAATTCCCAATTTTACAGTTCGTTGATGTTTACTTGTCTCCACTCTTTGCTCTATCAGATCATTACTAACTATTAATATTATAAGAAAAGTGTTCTTCATCTATATGTGTAAGATATTCTACATACAGCTGTAGGTGTTTCAGAGTTGCCTCAAACCTATTTCAGTTGTTTAGGTTTTTGCAACTCAGAAACAGGTTAAAAATCCTTTTACCCTTGGACCAATATTTACTTATGACAAGACTATTTCTTACTTAAACTTTTGTATCTAAGGACAAAATCCTGTTCCAACTAAATGGAACCCTCAAGACACCCATTTTAATAAATAATTAGTATTTTTGTATTTATTGCTATTTACAGATTAAACAAAATTTGATTCTGGTGGCATTTTTTCTTTAGGCTCTATTAGAATGAAAGGCCTAATTCTTGCTACCAATTTACAATTTTTGCTGGTATAACAACTGGGTTATAGCATTTAGCAAAGGAAGAAATAGTTTAGGTACATATAGCTATTCAGATTCAGATCAGACTTCTTTAACTTCATTTTTGTTGCTAATGGTTCCTGCATAGTATTGGATATGCTCTTAGAGGAAGTACCAGCCGGAGCTTCTAGTACTTGCCCCGTTCTAAGAAAATTGAGGGTCATGAAAGTAATGACCAGCTATAAGTATTCCACAGCATGTCAACACTACCATTGTCACTGTAGTTGGTCCCAATGAAAGAAGCTAATAATTATTTTAAACTCAGTATACATGTACATGTAGTACAAAAGGTTGATCTGGCTAGCCTGCAAAATAACTACACTGCTGTCTCTCATTACTCTTTTTCTTCAGTCATGTTGCAATCCTTTGCAAAATTCCGTAATAAATCATGACAAAAAGCAGGGTGTACCTAAATTTGTTTTGTTTTTTTGTTCAAGCAGGTCAGTTGCAATTGCTGTAATCGGTACAAATGTACTGTGAAGTGGTGCCAGCAGAACTCAAATGCCTGCAGTTAAGCAAACAGATTTAAAAGAAACATTTGTACATTAATTGGCCTTTTTAACCTGCTGACTGGTACATTACTTGCAAATAATAGCCAAAGGATTCTAATGAAAAATTTATCACATCACCCAATTTGATCTACCTGCCACCAGAATTCTCAGGACAAATCAACACCATCAGGATTTGTACTGTTTACGCAGATTTATCTTTTTCTAAAAAAAAGTGTCATAAACAGAGAGTGATTAAAGGATTACTGTATTTGCAGAGCTACATGTACATGTACCTGTAAGTATGACCAGTCATAAATAATCTGGAATTTCTTTAAGAGCCTTGGATTAACTTATATTTCCTTATCACAAAGCAAATTCAGGAGCATTATCTGGTGCCTCCTGCTCTGAGGAGAAGCCATTCGTCCTTTCTATTGTCATTGAGTGATGACAAGCTTACATGTGACTGTTTTAATTTTGCTTTACTGTTCAGCTTCGCAAAGAGGTTTTTACAGGCTAAGTTGTTGACTCCTCCATGCTAGAGGCCTCCTGCAAAGCACTTTTCTCGGATTTGTCATCTCCTTGGTCTGTATTGCCTTGTTCTGAAGACATGTACTCCACAATTATACAAGCTTTGAACTTACAACAATCCTTCTTCAAAATAGAGGTTGACTGGAAAAGGGTTGTCTCTTCAGCTTTTTCTGCAACAAACAGAAATTATACATAATTGAGACCATTAATACTGAAACTAAAGCTGTAGATGCTTGTCATGAAAAATACTATTGTCCTTTTCTGTCTAAATATTCTAGCCTTTTATAGGAAAAAAGGTTGCTATTAGATATTACATGTATTATTACTGGCTGCAGTCACACTAGGTGACTAAACTTACTTATTTTCTGAGTTAACTGATATCAAAATTAACTAGTTTCAACAAATTGCTGGCTCGTAACTTTCATGTCTCAAATCTAACCCCAAGCGGTCATCATAATCCTGATTACACTGTACCCGTTAAAACTAAGACCTTCTTTGAGCAAAAACAAAATGAAAAAATGAATGCGAGAAACCCGTTTGTAACAAGACAATTGACTCCAGGTAAATCATTGTATTAATTTTATAGTAAGTGTCCCACTACATCACTACCATAACAACATTATTGACATATTACTTAAAACTTCATGGAGCTGCTTCTTCTGCAATATTGCCATCACTTACAGTGTATCTTGGGAACAAAAGTTTAATTATACTATAATTGCCTCATACGAGGGAATCCAAGACAGTTTTAGATTCTGGATTCCACGCTGCGGATTCCGGAACCTTTTTCGGTGGATTACTTGGTTTCTGGATTCCAACCGTTTGACTTGTATTTCAGGTTTCAAAGCTCAGAATTTAGGATTCCGCAACAAAAATTGCCTGAATTCTGGATTCCATAAGCAAAAATTTCCCGGATTCCAGAATCCCTTACATGGGGTGATCATAAAAAACAATCAGTGAAAGCAGGGTACCATGATCTAAATTCTAGCTACACTATATGTTTTCAGCACCATGGCAGTCACTGCCTTTACTCCCCTTTTAAATTTTGGAAAAGCCTTTGGAAAAGCCTTTGGAGAAAGTAGGCACTAGAGGATAAGGTTAATTTTGGCCTAATAGAGGGGAATTAACACTTGCTTCAATTCTTATTAAATTTTCCAAGACCATTTATCTGAAGAGAACAACCAAACAAAAGATTACGGTATTTTTTACAACAACAGGACAAATAAAGTTTCAGGAGTAGAGGTGGTCCTTGTTGATTACTGAATATTGGAATGCAAATGTAGGTATTATCAAATAGCATCATTAATGGCTTAACAGTAACAAAGAACTTTCTTATACTTACTGAGCATTTCTTTTACTCCCGATTAGTTGCTCCCTTAGCATTTGTTTGTCCTCAACATTTCTCCTGCCTCTTCTTAGTTTTACAATGTCTGCTAATTAAAACAGCATCGATTCACCGAAGTCTATTTACTAAGTACTAACGGCTGCTTTTCTTGGATCCACTCGTTACTACTTGATCGTCGCCGATGGAGCGATGTAGATGTCTTTCATGGTGGATTTTCGTCGAAGGATCTATAAGTATGCAGTTCCCTCGAGTTCGAGCGATTATTTTTATTTGTTCTTCGAGGACACATTCGTTCGATAAATTCGAACAAATAAGACTGCCCGATTCCTCCATACTCGACAGTCAACCCCACAAAGAAGGAAAATTCGAAACCTCTTGATAAATATGGCGTTAAACGTACGAAGTAAAAGCTGATGACAAATCGATGGCAGTGGAACGTGTTAACGGTCGACGAATTTCAATTGTTGTGCCTCGTTCTCGAACGGTTATGCAGACTGTCGCTGACCAGCACCACTGAGGCGCAAATGCTTGGGAAATCGGGCGCGCGGTCTTTTGGCGATTTGGCGGGAGGAAGAGATTGCCTATGTTGCTGGATTTCTTCTCAAGGATATTCGAAATTTAAAAGGTAAAGTCGATTTATTTTGCTTTGTATATCGTGCTTCTACTGCCACATCTATGTTATAACCGGGAATAAACTACATTTGCATCCATATTTACATTTGTAGCATGTATGTGCACGCGTGTCGCGTGCGTATGGTAGTGATCCAGCTGAAAAAAGCCTTGTTGAAAAATTTAAGTGGTGTTAAGTCAGTAAAATATGTAGTTATGCAATGTTAAAATGCTAATTTATTGATATTTGGCAGAAGTAGCTCAAGATTAATTGCTTGAGTAATTTATACTACCTCTGGCGCTATATTGACATGTTGAGCGTAATACCTGTACATGTACCATTGATTTTGACAGGGGTAGGGTGGAGCCTTTATTTTATATGCGTTACTGTCATTTTTTTCTGTTTTGTTTTGTCATGTTTTCATATACAATTCAAGGTTGTTTTGTTTATAATAGTTTATAATGATACAGCTGTACATGTAAGCTGAGTCCAAGGGTCAAAAATGCTAAAATGTGCCACATGTGTATTTATAATGTTCATAAAGATAATGGCAACACAAGTAACACAATTCATTTAATTTCACAATATTATCAATAAAGGTAGAATTAACAGTTATTTTTAGTGGGTTTAGTGACTTTCTTGTACATTTGTTTCAGATTTTTCCTTGAGTGGTACTGGACTTATTTCCAATGTTCTTGAAATTGAGTTGCATCACCTGAACTCTCCAAAAGATAAAGAGGTCAATGAAATACAGGTTCAACATGGGGAAGCTGTTTGTGGTCTGTTCAAGAAGAAATGCTACAGGGGTATTCCAGTGGGTCTCAATTTATTTACAGTAATCATTTTTTCCTCTTCACAAGATGACAGAATTGAAGCTTATATACTGAACGCTCCCATCCATCAATACCCCATCTGTTTGGGGTAAATGTCACAAAAAAGAAACCTCACATGTACTTCCTTGGGTTATATTTTTACCATCTTTACAATATTATTTTTCTTGTTCTTTGTGCCGTGCCCTGCTAAGTAAATCCATGTCCCTTTCACAGTGTTCTGCGGGAACATAATGTACTGAAATTGTGTGAAGCTATAGAACATTTGCACTCATAGAGGTTTCCCCACAGAGATATAAAGAGTGACAACATTATTCTTACAGAGGTAAACAATATGTACCACCCAATGCTCATTGATTTTGGAAAGGCTATCTTGCTGTCGGATGCCGCTTCAAAACAGCAGTCCGTGACTGCTCACTAGCACTGACATATAGCTTAAGAAATATGCCTCAGATATTATGTTTTCACTTGGCGTTACTAAGTCATGGCAAAAGTTAGTGGCAAAGTGAAAGTAGAAAGTGATTTTGTGGAAGGGCAAAGAAAATGCCTTCAGACAGATCCAAAGTTGAGATTTACTATTTCATGTCTTCTCTCACTGCTCAAAACAAATTTTTAGCTGGAACCTTTTTTTTGTCCAGCAATTATAAAATATCATATTCCTATTTAAAAAGGAAAATCAAAAAGGTATCTTACCGTGTGAATTCCTATTCTAAATAAATCTATTAAAATTCGGCTCATTTAGTGAAAGGGTATAATAATATTGATGGTGTAAACCCCGTTGGTCTAAGAAGTTTAGGTTTAAGTGAAGAAATGCACCTGATGTTATTGTTGTTGAGTGAAGGCTGATATAAATCTTGCCAGTCTGTTTGAGCAGTTTAAAAAGACAAATCATATTGAACTCAAAATCAGGGTTGTAAAGAGCAGCAAAGAAATTATTCATTCATGTCTGTGCTGAGTTTCTATTCACAAATTATATGAAATACAAAGCAATTTCACCATTTGTTGTAGTATTGGCTGTTGGGCTTTCAAAATGTGGTCATTTTTAGGAGGCTTACCATCAAGATGTGGTCATCTCTAGGTATAGTCAGTGAAAACTAGAACAAATAGCGGTAAGAACAAAATTGTCAGTTTTGATGTGAAGTTTCTTGAATAAATGGCCATGAGGAAATTGTGTACAAGTGAATAATCTCAACCCTGACTTTGAAATGCACAGAACCTTTTTTTTTTTTTTTACCAAATTTAAGGTACTGTGGGTGGCCTTGTTATTGTTAGCTTTTTAATAATAATATTATGATGTAGAAAAAATACAGTAAATGATCTGACTACTGGACCTTTGTCCAGTAGATTTGTTGTAGTGTATTTACTTAATGTAAAGGGGAGGTAGTGTGGGCCCTCTGTAACTGTATACAACAGTTACTGTGTCATTTTGAATTTTTAGTTTTAGTAATTGGAGATCCCTGCCCATTGTGCGACCCTAGGCTTTACTATTATCAAATGACAGAAGGGGAATGTAACACATGCCCAGGTTATGTACCAATATTGACTCACTTCGAAGTGGTTATGTGATTTAGAATTGGACCCAAAAAAAGACCGGGGCCCAGTTGTTCCAAAGACCGATTAGCACTAACCCAGTGTTAGATTTTAACCTGCGTTTCTTTTTCCTTTTAATCAAAAGCACTTTGTCAGATAATTTTCCCTCTTTTTTTAAGTATCAAATCACCAAATTGTAGACAAAAGGAATTCAAATAAATTTGTTTTTAAAACTTTCATATCTGAATTCATATTTCGTACTAACCTTGGGTTATCTTAACCCAGCTTTAAACAACCCATCCTGGAAGGAAAAATTAATGCTGCATGTTAATTTGTTTCACCGCCTTAGTTTTTTCTTTATAGCTTTAAACTTTTCATGATCCAAGGCCAACTCAGAGCTCCTGTAACCCAGTAGGGGTCTGTTCATTTTTAAGGGGGCTTTGTTGGGTGGGATTTGACCGGTAGCTCCTGTATATGAAGGCCCTCTCTTCATCAGAATTTTTTGGGGAAGCCACAACCCCTCTCCTTGTATCCCAAGATCAAATAACCAGGATTCAGGTGAATTTTAGGCAGCAAAAATGCTATGACTTTTTTTGGATTGAATAGGTAGTACTTAATGAACAGTGAAACTCAAACTCAGGGTTGCAAACAACAAAGTAAGAAAAATTAGCCTTTCATAAATTTGTCAGCTGAGTTAATGTTCAAATAAAATTGTGAGCAGTTTCACCATATTTTGTTGTAGTATTGGCTGTTGGGTTTTCAAAATGTGGTCATTTTTAGGAAGCCCGCCATCAAGATGTGGTCATCTCTAGGTGGGCAGTCAAAACTACAACAAATACCGGTTAAACTAAAATTGTTGGTTTTAAATTGAATTAAGTTTGTTGGTTAAATGGCCATGAGGAAATTATGTACAAGTGAATAATCACAACACTGAGTTTGAAATCCACAAAACTTTTTATTTCGGACCAAATTTGATTTTTTAGTATGATGTTCAAAAAATACAGTAAATGATCTGACCACTGAACCTAACCTTGTGTTATCTTAACCCATCTTTGAGCAACCCAGCCCAGAAGTTTAAAGGCTGCATGTTAATTTGTTTCACCACCTTAGTTTTTTCTTTATAGCTCTAGACTTTTCATGATCTAAGGCCAACTCAGAGCTCCTGTGATCCTGTAACCCAATATAGGTCTGTTCATTGTTTATGGTGCGGGGTGCTTTGTCGGGTAGGATTTGACAATTCGACCGGTAGCTCCTGTAGATCCTCCTTGTATCCCAAGTTCAAATAACCAGGCCTCAGGTGAATTTTAGCCAGCAAAAATGCTATGACTTTTTCGGATTGAATAGGTAGTACTTAATGAACAGTAAAACTCAAAATCAACATTAAAATCAGTGAAACTTAAACTCAGGGTTGCAAACAATAGAGTAAGAAAAATTAGCCTTTCATAAATTTGTCAGCTGAGTTAATGTTCAAATAAAATTGTGAGCAGTTTCACCATATTTTGTTGTAGTATTGGCTGTTGGGTTTTCAAAATGTGGTCATTTTTAGGAAGCCCACCATCGAGATGTGGTCATCTCTAGGTGGTCAGTCAAAACTACAACAAATAAGTGCCGTATGATATATGCCCCTAATATTCTAGAATCAGTATAAATATTGTCGGAAATATAGAAAGAACCCTGCAGTATATGTATGACAACCCTTGAAAAACACAATATTTTACACCAACGTACAATGAAGTAATTTGGTTCCCTAATTCAGCTCGGAAGTGAACATCATGTAATATTAATGAAGATGAATTTACAGCCATCCAACCACTACATAGTTCTCATTTATAGGTGTTATCTTTAGTTTAAGGACCCCTGTGGTAATTGCTGTGCATAAGGGAATACCACTTGTTAAGATGTACATTGTCCCATAAGTTAATAGAGGAATTTTTAAGACGATAGACAGGGCCGTAGCCAGAAAAAAATAAGGACTGAGGCAATATCCATGGTTGAATTCCCCGCCTAGCTATTCGGGGTCTTTATGATGACTACGTTGAAACAAAACACTGCCAGGATCAAACCTTAAATGACAGAGGCAAGTGCCTCGGTTTGCCTCATACTGGCTATGGCCCTGACTGTAGGAAATAGAGTGCATCAATGATCTGACTACTGGACCTTAATAACGAGTAGATTTGAATTAGGGTATTTGCTTTAAATTAGTAGCCCGGGAAAGGTTTATGCCAGGGGCGCTGTCAGAAAGGGACACCTTTTTCATGCTTCAGGTATGAAAAGATAGGGATTTCCTGAGTTAAAGTATATGAGAGGGTAGACTATCTGTCATTTCGTTCTGTAAAAAGACTAACAGAAGAAATTTGTGAATGTAAAATTGTCAAAAAAATTAACTGGTTTCTGATTCCTTTATATTAAAATGACAGTTCACATAAAACAGTTAACAGGAAAGATGCATGTAAGGGGTTGGACCTCTGGGCGGAGTCTCAGCGTGTACAAAATTTTATTGTAACAATGTAATGTTACAGTTGAGATTGGAAATTTACTTTAGTCACAAAACGGATCAAACATATAGGAAATGTCACATGCACATCACCTTTGACTGTCAGCAAATGTTATGCAGCTCACTATATTTGCTCCCCTTGCAAATATGGATAATTATGATGCAAATGTGCAAATTTATGATACAGCCAAATGTGTAGAAATTTATTGTTTTTGCTCTTAAGGCAAATACGAGTAAACCACATGCAAAAGTGTTCTTTTGGTATCCTGGAAAAACAAGAGCAAATACCACTGCAAATTAGGGGTTTTGCAATATTTTTGCCTGCATTTGAAGTAAAGTGAAAACTGTCATTTTTGCCAAGGATGTAAATTTGAGTAAACTGGTAGAAATGTTGAAGATTTGCCCATGCTGCAAATACGTATCAAATTTGTATCAAACCATTACATTTACTTCATTTTTGCGTATCAATACCTATCTAGCAAATATATGTATTTGCCCACACTTTAGCCGACAGCGCAAATGTAATGCAAATTTGGAGCTCCAAATTTACCACATATTTGCACCTTTCGCAAACATAAGTAAATCCGTTTATTCGTCCAGTGGAACGTTTAGTTTTATTTTCATTTTTCTTTTAGCCCCTGAAGAAGGTTTGTTTTCAAACCGAAAGATTTGGCAATTTGTTTAAATATGTATTTGTTTGTTTTTGTTTACTTCTTCATCGCCTTGCCGTAAGGATCAGTTTGCCGTTTCATATTTTTCTACAAGTTTAATTGTACTGATCCAGGTCTACAACTGGGAGATCCGGCACCAATCATTGGTTTGTTGTTCTGGACTTGCCGACATTTTATATATATTTTGGAATCTACTTCTGATGCCTTCCAAGTTTACGACAGATTTCACTTTTAAAGTATAATACCGACACTTAAAAACCGTAGTAAATAAACAGTTGTTGTTACTCGTCATTGAAAGAAAAACATTCATTATACCTCTCATATCTCAGATCTGAGGTATAACATCCACACCTCAGACCTGACGTGTAACATCTCTTGAATGACCCATGATCTTATATTCTGCGTCACGTTATTCTAAAATTTCTACGAGTATATTTCTGTGGAGGCATGAACTTGCTAATTCGTTTCTTTTGTTCAGTGTAAGTAACCGTTTTTTTTTGCAAATTATATAAAAAAAAATTATTAGAGGCATAGACTCACTGTTTTTGCTAACATCATGGTCATATGGTTTGCAATTCCTGAGCGTTTTCCACTAAATAAGGAGCTATATATGAGGGTCTGGATCCCGGGGGGGGGGGGGTACTCCCATATATGGGCTATATAGGTACGTGCCGCGGAATAGGGTATGGTTTTCGAGGTTCTCAGTCCTTAAATAGGTTTTCTTTTTGACCCTTTTGTTTCTGTGTCCCTGGTGTGGTCCTTAGATAGGGTAGATTAATTGTGTTATCTAATACTGGAGTGTGAAAACGCCTGCCTAAACAAACGGTTTTTTTTAACTTGATGTATCCTTCTAAGTATTAACAAAATGATTTTGCAACAGAGGTTTAATAGCCGTTAAGCGGGTAAATACACGTAACGCCTCTTCAAGCCACAGTATTAATTACAATATGACTGTCTATTAATAATTTTGTTTTTCCTTGAATAGGGTGTCATTTTTCGGCTTTGGGCCTTAAAAAGGGTATCGGTTTTCGCATTCTTAGTCCTTAAGAGGCTGTCCGCGTAAGAACCGATAAGGCAAATTTCGGTGTATCACAGATTGTCCTGATTTTTTCAGTGGAAGATAACTATCCTATAAAATGAAGAAATATCACATTTGTTTGGACCAACTCAATTTTTTCTCTATATTACAGGAAGATTTTCTCGGTCACCAAAAACTGGCCCGTTTAACGTCAGAAGTGGTGCGATATTGCTGAAACTTTAGGGCTCTGTCAAACCTACCTTACATAGCCGAATAAGCTGATTATTTTACACACAAAAGTTTTAACTCTGATTAACAGTGTCAAAGTTTAATGGTAGCATTCTGTGGAAGGTTGGCTGAGATATGATTTTTTTAAAATGACCTTTAATTTGCTCAGCAGGAAAAGTAATTTGCATAACTAGACTGAACGGTAATTTCGCAAAAGTGGCACCTGACCCAGACTCAAGTCTATGATAAATCAGAAGTACTAAGACCAGTCTACTTCTTAATGCAATAAAATTTGTGGGCACTCTTCTCTGCGCGCTGTACAAAGTTCCGTTAATGTTACAAAATTCGCCATTTTGACAGCAAAGCTGGAATTGTAACGGTCCCCATTTGATCGACTAATTTCCACAGTTTTAACGTTTCTAGTTATCACCGAATGTCATTAGACCCTTTAAATGTTGGACTTTTGAAAACATGAGGAGAAAACTTGGTAATCGCTTTTTCTTGATTTTTTTTTTTTCCTTGTCGACGATCAGAACGCCATTTCATTCTCCGTATGCAAATTAGCCTTAGATGCGTCGTTTCAACAAATTGACAGGAAACATAACTGCTTATATTTCACATTTTTAAGGGAAAAATATCTCTTCTTTCCACGGAAAAACACGAACGATATATGACTTAGAATCCCCTTAGGTCTGTTTCTTTTACGAGGACGAAGCAGTAGAAGAAGACATGTTTACGCGAATTAAAATAATTTAATTGCTGTGGCCCGTCACGCATTCCCCGAGAGTGGCCGTGTATCGATCAGTTCTTTTATCTGATTATATTTTTTTTTGAAGTGATAGTTATTGATAATCATACAATTTAATCACTGTTAATTCCGATTCTTTACTGGGTGGGAAATACCGTGCTGTTGTATTTATTCATTCTACGACCGTTTTAACTGAGTCAGTATCCCCGGGCGCCACCGTGAGGATGGGGTTTAATATGACAGCCCATGGTGTAATACACGACAATTAGCTACAAAGTAGTCACTTGGACACGGCCACTCTCATTCACGAGCACTAGCACAATATTTTCAATTACAGAATTAACTATTAATATTTTGGAAATAGCTCGCAAACAACTTCAGAAATACCGTGCGACACCACAGGACCACGCCTGCAAAGTCCTTAAAGCAGCATACAGATTTCCTAAATCCCTAGCTAACTATAGGCTACCCTACAAACCTTAGGGTGGTATTAACAGAGCATTGTGTTTATCGCCAATTAACAACATTTCAGTAAAAATGAGGAATGGCATGCAGAAAATTGACTGTCCGTCTCCTGTTAAATCCCAAAAGTTTTTGCCGGCTGTTAATCACACTAAATTAAGGATCCCTATGTTCACTCCTGAGCTGATGGAGAAAAGCACTTGCAATCTTGTATGAAAGACGAAAGTTTGTCAATTAGGTCTCCCTTTCTTTCCCTGGATTTGAATGGTATTTTAAAGTGACACAAGATTTTTTTAGCATTACCACGTTGAACTGACTAGGTTGTTCTTCCTTTGACATACACATAGGTTGAAAGCTTCTGGTTGAGGGTGTTGTGGTCTCAATTCTTCAGCGATTTCGGCAATAAGCTTTTGCCTTTCGTACTCCTCGTCTTCTTGCAACAGATCTCTATGGTCAAGTTCAACTTGTATACACCTAGGACTATGTTTACGTGTTGACTCAAACGGGCCTAGAGTCCAACATGGGCTGGCAATAGGTGAGCACGGAATTGGAACAGGGGTGGGGGGAACTCCCTATGATGGCTTATACGGGGAGGTTCCGCCCCAAAGGAGTATCGTTTTCAGGATTCAGGTATAAGAAAGGTGGGCATTTCACTAGATGAAGTATATGAAAGGGCGAGTGCGCTTATTGCAGCCTTAGCAGCATCTTTGGCGGTTCTTAAAGAAAAATGAACTAAGTTTAAGAATTTAAGGAAAAAGTAGAAGGACTTAATTTTTCAGAAATTAATATACACGGGAGAAATTTCACCCCCTTAAGTACAAATGCTTGTAAAAGTAGAGGTGGAACAGTGGGGAGAGAGGGTGGATGGTAAGGTAGGTTAAAAATGGAGAGATGAGATGGAGCACATTGGTCAAGAGGGTATAAATACAAAAAAAAAAACAAAAACAAAAACAAAAAAAACAGCAATCTGGAGGCATTTTTGAAGACTTAATGAAAACGATATCAAAACAAAAAAAACAGAGAAATCTTGTCCAATAATCCTCTCCGGCAAATGTGTGGACATGGTTTGCTGACTGTTCAATCGTACTCTTCTCGACCCTTCGGCGTCAAGATTTTTCAAGTTTCTTGCGACAGGAGGAGCAAATCGGCTATACGACACGTCGACCACAATCACTCCTAGCCTCGTCCCCAGGACATTCTTCTTAGAAAATGGCATGGGCGGGAAAGCCATGGGGACGAGGTTGGATCCTGACTCCGTGTAGAAAGTTCTTTTTTTTCCATTTATAATGCTCTTCAAACAATCATCAGAAAACTATCTTTTACAACACACGGATTAACCGGTATGTATAGCATTTTAAAGGTAAGAATTGATTAGGGCAAGATACACTGCTGTCAAAAAAATAGAAATAAAAACTATCTTTGCAAGCTCAAATAAACTGGAAACGAACTTCAGAAAACATCGCAAGATGAAATGTGAATTAGAGAAATTAGAATATCTCTGTATGTTAAGAGACTTTTTTGCACGACGAAGAAAAAAGAATGATACTTACGCGATGGAACAAAACTTTGACTTATTTCGCTGGCTATCTGCAAATTTACGACATGTCTTCCTGCCACAGAAGTTATTTTGCCAGTATGATCCAGAGTGTGACCGGGTTATTGACAAGACCTTAGGCTCGATTTCCGCCGTCTCCCCGTCCGTTGGGGGCTCATTTTCCAGAACAGCGGCTTACAATCGAGCCTAACAAGACCTTGGCGCTCGCAAAAACCTGCCAAGTAGGTGTTCGGTGCCTTGGGCAGATTGTTATTTTAGTGTTAGCCTGAGGGGAGGCGGGTCTATTTAGTGTCTGTGCCTTGGGCAGATTGACATTTCAGTTCCGAATACCCACCAAGCTTCGAATACGTACTCTCGCTAAAATGAGCTCATTTTCATTGTCTTTGCTACACTTGCTACACTTAGACAAGTGACAGCTGGCTAAGTGCGACGTAATATGTGTTGGTCACAGAGTGCATAAATGATATTCCTCCACACCCCTACTGGGACCTCACTCTGTCTACGATCTCGCGGAAGAACTGCTTGATGAAATGGCCGAAAAAGCCATTTTTCACAATTGATCTCTTTCGCGATTTCATTGACATAATTATATTTGAAACTGGAACCTGTTGCATTATAATTCAATCACATTGAAACCAAAACAAGATCATCGTTGGAATTCGGATGTTATACCCTAACAAAAACTAAAAAGATACTCCCTTTTGCGTTTATTCACTGAAAAAAGGAACTATTTTTCCCGTTTCATTCTGCTGCCGATAAACGCTTTAAAGATCTTTGAATGAAACTGAAATTTACTGCTAATTTAAGATAGAAAACGTGTGGGGCATTTTTTTTATCTTAGTGCCATGTACAAAGATCTGCCTTCTCCTGATAAGCAAATATCATAATAAAGCTTTCGACGTTAACGCTATTTTTTAAGGCACGCAAAAAAGAGTGCCCAAAAATTTTCGTGTGCTGACAAGAGGACTTACCTTGCAAGTGAACTCTTATTTTTTATTATTATCAATAACTATCATTTAAAAAAAGATGATAATATTATAGAATTGATGGACACAACGCTATTGTTTTCTAATCGACCACCCCTCTTTAGGAATGCGTGACAGACCACCGTAATTGAATTATTTTAAGCCACGCAAACATATATCATGATATATTATTCAGCTGCTTCTTCCTCGTTAAAAAAAAGCAGACCTTAAGGGGATTCTAAGTCATGGTTTGTGTTTTTCTGTGGAAAGGAGAGTTATTTTTCTCCTTAGAAATGTGAAATGCAAGGATTATATTTCCTGTCAATTTGTTGAAACAACGCATCTAAGGCTAATTTGCATACGGAGAACGAAGTCACGTTCATCGTCGACAAGAAAAAGACCCAAGGAAAAGCGATTACTAAGTTTTCTCCACATGTTTTCAAACGTCCAACATTTAAAGGGTCTAATGACATTTAGTGATATCTAGAAACGTTAAAGCTGTGGAAATTAGTCGATCAGATGCGGACCCGTTACAATTCCAGCTTTGCTATCAAAATGGCGAATTTTGGAACATTAACGGAACTTTGCACGGCACGCAAAGAAGAGTGCCCACAAATTTTATTGCATTAAGAAGTAGACTGGTCTTAGTACTTCTGATTTATCATAGGCTTGAGTCTGGGTCAGGTGCCACTTTTGCGAAATTACCGTTCAGCTCTAGTTATGCAAATTACTTTTCCTGCTGAGCAAATTTGCCTTGGGTTTTACTGTCAACTGACAAAGGACCTGATTGTCTCCTATTTTCTACAAAACCCGTTTTTAAGAGCGGATGTCAGTAAATATCGACCAGAGGTCTACAAAAGTGAAAAATCGCAAATTCTCAAAAAAAGTCACAAAGTAGCACTGGGTAAGCTATTAACATAAATGTAATTTTTACTTCGATCCGATAATTATTTTCCACGTACGGGGGGGTTATTGGTTTCGCGGCTCTCGGACTTGGTTTTCCAGGCCCGAGACCATGTGTCGCAAAAAAATCGTTTTAAAATTCAAATCCATTGTATGCGGACAACAAATAACTTATTCCGAAGAGTACTTAATTGCACACATTCTAAGTGGTAATTTACTCAGTTTGAACGAAAGTGTAATATTTTGGAGATTTTTCATTATTTTCAATATTTTGAACGTTTTCCTTTAATAAAAAAATGGCAAATTTCAAAGCCCAAAATCGTCCACTGGTACCTCGATTTCAGTAACGAGTCTTATACCACGTTAAAGAGCGTTATCTCTTCTTTCAAAATCTGTTTTCAAAACTACGGGCAAGTTAAAAGAAAATGTTTGAGGCCAAAAAATACTAGTAGTACTTTTCTGAAATTTGAGCTTTGCAGACTCAGCGGGTCGATGCTAAAAACTCAGAAAAATGCAATAAGAAATCAGTTTGAGCAACAGTGATTTCACGTTATCAGCTATCGGAAACTAACACGTGTTTATCGAGCGATCTGATAAAATTTAAAGCCGTTTTCCAACAAGAAAAGCAGAGTTTAGCCATCTTCTGCTACCAAACGCACGAGTGACGTAAGGTTGTCAAAGGGCAAAGCACAATAATAAACTTCAAAAAGCAAAACGTTTCTGCGTCCAGGAATTAGACTTTAGCGGACAGAACATTGCCTACAAGTGTATGTTTCATACCTTAGCATGGGTTTCCTAGATACTGGAAATAAAAAACATCAAGGACAGCATCGGCAAGAGCATCTTCGGCGGGCGTCTGGAAAAGCCGGAAACCGGAATCCGGAATAGGAACGGGAATGGGAACAGGAACCGGAACCGGAACCGGAACCGGAAACGGCAACGGCAACGGCAACGGAACAGGAACAGTAATGTGAAGGGGAACCGGTACAAGAACAGGGACATCATTTACTTTAAATTATTTTAATTCTAATTCAATTTATAAAAAAATAAGAAAACTAATCTGGTATCATGCTCCCCCGCCCCCCTCGAATCTCTTTATATTATGGCAACGAGAAGGTAGATAAAGCCACAAGTTAAATAAATAAAGCAACAGCTTTGCTAGTGCATCGCGCTTTCTGTCAATTTCTTCACCGGCTATGCACAACTACGACGTAAATGATCAAATCTTAAGTTCTCTTGAGAACGTGAACAGCAGGCGATAAATTTTATTGTGTCTTTCTGAGCTCGGACGCGGTCTCCAGCTTCATTTCCCAACCTTTAAAAGACTGGACAATTTGGAATTAATGAGAAATAGTTTGAATTAAGACCCGAATTCAATTTTTCAGTGGCGTTTTCGCTTGCGTTGCCGTTGTCAGATCTTAAGGTTCCTTTTGTCTCTCACAGGAAGGAGGTTATAACATGTTAATATTAGTTGTCAGACCATGTGTAAACGAGACACCCATCTGAGACGTTTATTGGGCTGCCATACACCTCAGGTTTGCTGCATAGATATATTGTACTGTGCTAAATTGGGAAGTTAACCAGAGATAGATAGTCCACAGCTTGAAAAGGGTATTAACACTTACCACCTCACCCTCCCCCCCACCCCCATCCCAGCGAGCACTTCATCTACCTCAACCGGAGTGCAATAGGGACCTTAATACGCAACCACAACGTTAACGTCCAGGACATTAAAAATGGAAACTGGAAGTGGATGTTTTCTGTCTTTCGGTCCCCTGACTCAACAAATTCGCACAGTGGAAGGTAACAGGAAGAATTCAGATTCGTTGTGTGAGACAGAAGCGTTCCATCAAGCGACGGTCAGCGTTCTCGTTGCTGAAGTTCGCTATGGTTGACACGAAGACACAATGTGTCATAGGCTAAAGATAAAGAAAGGTTAATTAGATTAAAATTTCAGGGGTGTTTTCTTGTTTGCTTAATTATTTCCCTGGCTTTTTATTGAAATCACGATTATATCTTTTTCTTTTCATATTTCTATACACTGTTTATATTCCCCTTCATATTCCGGTTCCTATTCCATTTTTTCCCTTATTTTTCCTATATCTGAACAGGAATTAAATCCAGATTAACTTAAATTAAGTTAAATGTTGTCCCTATTTTTATATAGGTTTTTCTTCCCATTCCGGTTCCTATTCCGGTTCCGGTTCCTGTTCCTTTTCCTATTCCCTTTCCTATTCCGGATTCCGGTTTCCCGCTTTTCCAGACGCCCATCTTCGGCTGCTCTCAAACGACGGAGATTGCGTTACTTTTCACAGATTGACCGCTTACCACCTGTTTTTGGGCTCGCACTTCGACGGAACGCTTGCCTCGAGAGGCGCGCGGCACGGATCTGAACTCTTCTTCACGAGACATTGAGCTGAATTTATCGGAAATATGCCACCACCACCAACAACATGAGCTTTTTTCGGGTATTTGTCGTTTTTTATTCGAAAAGTTCGGGTAAGCAGATTCTCGCAAAAACCATTTGGCTTAAAAAATGTGTTTAAAACGGCCCACCCTGGATTTGAAGCAAAAAGTATTTCCTCGAAATAAGCTAAAAATACCCAATTCACGCGATGAAAAAATGGATGATTATGGAAGGATTATCGAATTCTTGCCTAACCTGAGGGATTTCCCGTGATGTAGGATTAGGGCTAGGAAAAAAGCCCATAACCTGCTCCTGTCGTTGTGAATTTCCTCCAGATCAAAAATTTTAGTAAGAACCGAAAACAACAGCTTAAAGGAGGTGCACACACCTTGAACTAGCCAGGGAAAAGGGGCTTCTGATTGAGTTAAACTGTCATTGATGCACGGTGCAATTAGGTAGACCTGTTACTATCCCTCGCGCAACCACATGGGGAGTACTTTGAAGCGGTCCTGTCGGGGATTTTCGGGGGTAGGGGGCGGGGCAAATCGAAAATAACTTCTCTTTGTTTTGTGAAGTACATCATTTATCGCACGGTTGACAAGGTGACGGCGGACTCGGTACCTTTGGAAAGGCCCTTTTGAAACATGTCCTGGCAACATGCAGGGCATCACGAAATTAACGTCAACACCTTGAATCAACTCCATGAACAGGGAGAGGCGATAAGTCCCATCTTAAAAGATGCTTGATGTCTAGACGTGAATAGTCTGTCCACAGTCATTTTTCATTTTGTATTTCGGGACCATTTGACAGCGTGCGAGTGAACCGGAGTGCAGTGACGAGCCCAAACCCCACCCCATTGCCCTTGCGGTCAATAAATCATGGCGTTTTTCATTTTTTATATGCGCGTTCGAGAACCTCCAAAGGGAATATTGAGGGTCTTTGTACAGTTTCAGTTTATTTTACCGACAAAAAAGAACAAAACAAAGTAAAAGACAAGTATACAGAAAAACGCAGAAGCAATGTGGTGAGGAAGCCCAAAAAGAAACCATAAGGCTTAGGTCATCCCCTTTTCGTTCGTTTAGCGTCGAATAGGTTTCCTGGTTTTGGGCGGGTCGGTCGGTGGGGTGAAAAAAAAATCGCAAGAAATCTGAGAACTGGAGGCCTGAAACACCAGCATCATTGCCGTGGAGACTGAAAACAACAAGACATGGTCACCAAATCGACACAAACTCAATATGGCGGAAAATTTGATGGTCAATTTCATTAAAAAAAGGCCCAAAAAGGGTAAAAAGCAAAGAGGATACACCACCGAACGTTTTATGCCTCGAAATGATGTTATAATGCTAATTTTTTAGATTAAAAGAATTAATATAAGTCCAAAAAAAATAAACCTTGTCGTTTCTTTTTCTTGCTTTTTTAAAAAATGCCAAAAAACTGGGTCTTTTGGACAACACTAAACGAAGAAAAAATTAATATAGGTATTAAGCTCCCCTAAAGTATGAAAGTATAAGTTTACAAGGACAGGATCGAACATATACTGAGTAACTAAATGATAAAAATTTGATCAAAATTAAATGAAAGGCTGAGAGTCTAAGCGCTGTCTGATAACGAAACGGTAAACAAGAAGTGCTTCCCCTCATTTAAAAGAGACGTGAAATACTGGGTGGACCACATCTTGAACTCCCGCGAAAACCGCAAGAGAGGAACGCTCAGGGCTAAGGAGACTAAACAGGGGCGTAGCTACTTGTACGCACGGTTTGCACGTGCGTACCCGAAAACGTTGAGGAAAAAAATAGAATGAAATAAACATAACTAAAAAAATCAGTTTCTAGAGAAGCGACGACATTAATAGGACAATTGCACGATGACGATATTTGACTACAACTACCACAATTCATTTCGGTTTTGCTTTGTTATTTAAATTTGTCAATCCCGCTGAGGATTACAGAACAATAGCCTTAATTTGCATAAGAAAACAATAAACTCAAGGATTCTGGTAGTTGTAGTCAAATGACGTCATCGTGCAATTGTCCTATTTGAGAACCGAATCTTGGATGATATTTATTTATATAGCAAGCTTGATGATGTAAAGCGTGAACGCGTTGTTTTCTCCACGTCCTGTCTTTGGAGTAGACGAAGTAGGGCACAATTACGTCAATGTGTGGTGCTTTTGTCGGTCAAAAATAATGTGACAAAAAGGGATAAAAAGAGTCATTTGTAAACTAAAGTCGGAGGTACTACAAGCTTGATTTTCAATAGCTGAATTAATGATAAACGGTTGACGTCAATGAACATAACAAGCCGACAGAATTAAAGAATTTTAGAGGTTGTGTCATTTCATAAACAGCAAAAATGCTTTTGCTTACAACCGTTAACCCCACCTTTAATAAAGGCACCTTAAAAAAATGTTGAGATTTGGGGTGGCTGGGGGGGAGGAGGGGAAGAAGATGTAGAAAAAGTTGGGCGTACCTCCGGAAAAATCCTGACTACGCACCTGCTAAAGCCTGAAACTGAACAACAGGAGTCTTGTCGAAACGTCCTCAGTTATCACCTGTCCGGGGTCGTACTTTCAAGGAAACGCTGATCAAGAATCACTCATGACGGAATGAAAACTCCTCGTAGCTTCCAGCGAAAAAACGAGTGACAACAGTGGTAAGCGGTCGTTCTGTGAAATGTAACGCAATCTTTGCCGTTTGCGATCTTTCGGCGCTTGGATTTGAAACGTTGTTGTTTGGTATGTTCTCCCGTGTGGATACTTGACATTTCCAATATATGGAAACACCATGCATATGCATGCTAAGGTACGAACAACAGACATTCACAACATTGTTTTGTACGCTAAAATCTGATTTCATGGACGTAAAACGTTTTGAATTTTAAGACTTTTTAACATTAGTGCTTTGCCCTCCCTTTGACAACTTCACGTGACTGGTGCACTTGGCAGGAGTTGACAGCTTAAATCTGCCTTTCTTGATAGCAAACGTCATTAATTTATATCAGATCGCTGTATAAACACGTCTTGGTTTCTGAAAGCTGATAACATGAAACCACTATTGCTCAAACTGATTTCTTATTGTATTTTTCCAAGTTTTTAGCATCGGCCCGCCGCGTCTGGAAAGCTGAAATTTCAGAAAAGTACTACTTGTATTTTTTGGCCTCAAACATTTTCTTTTAACTTGCCCGTAGTTTTAAAAACAGATTTTGAAAGAAGAGATAACGCTCTTTAACGTGGTATAAGACTCGTCACTGAAATCGAGGTACCAGTGGACGATTTTGGGCTTTGAAATTTGCCATTTTTTTATTAAAGGAAAACGTTCAAAATATTGAAAATAATGAAAAATCTCCAAAATATTACACTTTCGTTCAAACTGAGTAAATCACCACTTAGAATGTGTGCAATTAAGTACTCTTCTGAATAAGTTTTTTTTTGTCCACATTACAATTGATTTGAATTTTAAAACGATTTTTTTGTAACACATGGTCTCGGGCCTGGAAAACCAGTCCGAGAGCCGCGAAACCAATAACCCCCCCGTACGTGGAAAATAATTATCGGATCGAAGTAAAAATTACATTTATGTTAATAGCTTACCCAGTGCTACTTTGTGACTTTTTTTGAGAATTTGCGATTTTTCACTTTTGTAGACCTCTGGTCGATATTTACTGACATCAGCTCTTAAGGCCTTAAATAGCATTGTTCCACTCTTTTCATCAGACAAAGTGATCAAATGTGCGTTTTTAGGGGTAATCTTAGCAGCAAGACGCTTGAGTGTCATATTTCGTTAATGATTTTACTGTAAAACCCACGTGTGTTAGGGACGGACCATTAGAAAACTTATCGGGGGCGGGCGAAGTACAAAAAAAAAAATTCGCGCATGGGAAAACTAAATGAAAAAAAATTCTTGCACGCCAATTAACCCTAAAAAATATTCATGCTATGGCCTAAAAAAAATTCATACAAGGAATTTGATAACGAAAAAAAATTCCTGCGGCTCGAAAATTCCCCTTCCCGCCCCCCCCCCCCCCCCCCCATAACTTTTCTAATGGTCCGTCCCTTACCTCGGAATTAACGCTTCATGAAATTAACGCGAATCGGTAACATTCCCGTTAATTTAAGTCGCGTTAATTTTGTTGAGAGTTAATTTCCGCGACGTTAATTAAGTGCAGCGTTAATTTCTGCGCTCTTAATTTCCAGTATTTTCACCCCAATTTTAGAACCTCTCCCCTGTCTCCAGACATTCTTGACACCTAAAAAACATTAACTACAAGCTTTCTTTCTTTCCATTTACCCTTTATCTTTCATCTTTCACAAAAGGTAAGGCGAAGGTTTACAATATTTCGAGTTCATCTTCATCGTTGTCGCTGTCAGCTCACTTTTGTTCAGTTTTGAATTTGTTTGCATCCAGTGTTGAAATAAATTTGTTCCAGTTGTCACCACCAACTGTGTCTTAATCGCGCTAATTTCCTTTATTATGAAATTCTACCTCCTCTTTCGCGTTAATTTTCTTTATTCGAAAGTCGTTTTCCATTAAATTCGCGCTAATTTAAGTCGCGTTAATTTCCAATACCTTAATTTCATGGAGCGTTTATTTCCTATTGCATGCCAAAATAGTCTGAAATTGATATGTAGTTGTACTAAATGAAATAAAACTTTACCATAATAAGCCCCCTCATAATAAGGTATGTACCATCTGTTGTAAATGACCTATTTATCTCAAATTTACGCTCCTCTGAATGAGGGTCTCAATGGGGTAAACCGGTAGGCGTAAAACGGCCCAAAATTTAGTCGATAGCCGTAAAAATTGAAATATTTTAACCGTTGGCCGTAAATAGGGTTAAAAGAGTTAACCGTAAAAAAATTTTGCTCCTTAGATTTGATAATTTTGAGGAACGTGCTAAACTGACTTGGAACGGTTGTGTTTCTTATTTCGCGGCTACTTTGACTCTTTACGCTCCTGTTTCTGCTAGTTCTGCTTTTCACGAAGATTCTATTCAAAGATCTTCAAAGCCGCGTACTTCTCAGCTTGGCTCCGACACTTGCCTGAATGTGAGAGTCACAGAAATGTTCGAGTCTCAATCTGTACGCTTGTTCTTTTTTAGTTCGTGTTGTACAATCTGTTCTTCAGTGGGCTAAAGACCTTATCGTGGTAGCAAAAAGAGAAGACGGCAGCAAATATAAAGCGACGCGAAGAACGAATCAGTAGCTCCTAAAGAAAAGGAAATCATGCCAACATGCAAAAGATGACAAACTTTTTCATAGCTAACATTTCTGTGTGTAAAATGATGTTAGAAGTGGAATACTCTAAAAGCATGATTCATGAAATATTAAAATTTTCAGAAGAAGAACTTATTTCATCCCGAGATGATCCTAAGACATTTATTTTGCTTTAAAGATCCAAAAAAAAAACAGTTTTATTAATATTTAACTCTTTGAAACAAAGAAATTAATTTTTAACTTTATAGTTAACCGTAACTGAAAAAAATTACCGATAGCCGTAAAAGAGCCAAAATTTTAGCCGATAACTATAAATGCCACCACCCCATTGAGACCCTCCGATCCTGAATGGCTGCTCACTAGAATGAGGGCGTTACAAAGGCAATTGCAAGTTTTTAGTGAGATGATTCAAAGACGGTTTTTCTTGGTCTTCTTACGATCTACATCCCAATATTACACCTGCCAACTTTTTCTGAGTCAAAGGAGTGAGATTTTCACCTTGTCATGACCGAGATTTCCGGAAACGTCCCGGCGACTTCCGAAGATTTCCGACGAATTTCCGAAGACTTCCGAACGTTGCCGAAAATTAAATGTCCGCTGACTGTTCCCAAAGACGTTTGAGCACTTCCAAAGCTACTTAAAGGACGACACTTTTAGCGTGCTTTGATATGATTTCGTTAGAGCACAAAAAAGGACTCAAAGTCATCATGTGTTAAGAACAATTTGTCCGGATTTGTGAGTCAGGCGTGAGAAATTGTCCTTGATGCGTGGGATCGATGTCTTTAGTCCACAGGCGTAAGACTCACGCATAATGCGTATACAATATTCTGATGGTATTAATTTTGATTGGCTTAATGGTATGCAATGTTGGACTCTGGCCAGCAAAATCGTTCGTAGAGGAGAGTAACACAAGACTTGAGATAAGGAGGGCCACTTGAAATGCTTACAATAGAAAAAGTGATAAAAATTAAGGTACTATCGCATCAGTTTTCGAATTTAATGTTTAATTTACATTATACGTGCCTTTCAAGCCAAATTTCGCATCAAAAATATGCAAATAAGTTTCATAGTTAATCATTAACAACCATTTAACTGACAACTGATAAAAAGCCTAAAATTTAACTGACAACTGACAAATGGTCGAAATTTTAACTGACAACTGACATTTGTACCTCCCCATCCAGACCCTCATATATCTATAGCCGGATTTTTGACAACTTTACGCCAAATGGACCTTTTCCGTCCAACAAGGGTGCAGCCATTGCTTTTTTCTCGTCTCGTCCTGTTCCTCATCGCCCTTTCTTTTCCTTCGTTATTGTTATTTTGGAGCTTGTGGGGTTTAAAAAAACAGTGCCTTTTGACGCCTTTTCAGGAAAATGACTGTAAAGTTCGTTAGCTGTTGATTTTCAAAAAATCGGCTAGATTATAAAAAATAGGAAAAAACTGGCTCAAGTAACACTGCATAAAAGGGCGCAAAAACTTTGCGTGTGTCGTAGTGGTCAGATGGATAAATAAATAAAAAAATAAATAAATACTTTTCAATGATAACTGAAGACATCTGAGCCTGTTGGCTAGTTTAGGAGCAGGAAGGCCTGATCAGCCTAATCAATGACTTCGGGAAGGGGGCACGGCGATCATTACATTTTTACCCGGGATCTACAAAAAGAGGTAATTATATTCTAGGAAATGAGACATTTTTCGATTTACTAAACTAGAATATTAAGAGAAAGTTGCTAAAACTTGAGCTTTGCAGAAGAAGGAAAGCTTGATTATTGCAACAGCCATCTAGATAGATCTAGATTGGTTGAATACGTTATTTTCTTGGTCTAGCGTATAATTATAGATGTGAATCGTTGATTGTTTTTTAAATAATGATTATCCATAGCCTTTAAAGTAAAATTGGTAACTTTTTAATGTAATATTACCTCATTTTCTATAGCCTGACTGTCAACGAAAAAAACTGCTCCCTCTACCTTCCCACCCTCCGACAACGCCTTCTGGAAGTCTTCAGTATAACGGCTCTTTATTTCTTTTTGATCATCAGATTCATAGCATCCTGTGAACTCATCCAAGCGAGTGAAGACGCCGTACGTGTAAGTGCAGTTGACTTTTTTGACAAAGTCCAGGACCTAGAAACGAAGACAGGTAATTAATATGGATTTCTTAAGTACATTTGAAAGCCATTTGCGGCGCTTATTTCAACTACGGGTAAAACACTGAGGGGAACATAGAGAGAATTAAATGAGGCGTGTACTAGGTATGCACAATTTAATTCAAAATATGCATCTAACCTAACAAAATTGGCAGGTTTCCTGAGCCCGACTAGCCTGCGGGCAAGCTCTCCTATTCGGGCGAGGCTCGCTTCGCTTGCCCAAATAGGAGAGCTTGCCCGCAGGCTAGAGCCCGACGAGCTCCAAACTCACACTAACGAAGGAAAAGGAAAGGAGAAAAAGAAAGAGTGAGGAGACGGTAAGGAGGAGAAGAGAAAAAAACAATGGTTACACTGTTATCTTTTATAATAGCTACTTTAGAGAAAATAACATTGTTTGGCACAAGAGGTCCATTTGGCGATAACGTTTTCAAAAATCCGGCGGGATGTATACACCGCGAACTGTTATATGAACCCGGTTTCAAGAGTTTCCCTACATTAAAACGTCAGAACTCGCGTAATTACGAAAACTAAGACCCCCACCAAAACAATCTGTAAAATTTCTACAAAGTCGAATTACGACCGTTTGAAGACTATAATCCGAGACAAACAAAAACTACTATCATACGCGTGCTGATCTACGATCCGCTAACAATTTTTTGAAAGTCTCGCTTTAAAAAGAGGACCAAAGCCATAGACTTCCTACGTATCTATTTTACACTGAAAATATGCCTTACCCCTATTGGCTTTTAATTGTGTTGTTTATCCTTGAAATCATGAAATTGGCTTTCCACTGGAGATGGATGTTTTTCTTCGTGTCTCTGCGATCGAGATTGCGTTACCTGTAACTATCACCTGAGGGGGTTTGTGTCCAGTGGTTGTCGTTTTTATTTTATTGTTCTGAAATTAGAACTCTAATTCTTGAGACGATACTTTGCTAGTACAGGAAATTCATTCAATCATTCGTTTTGTTTTTATTATTTCATAAGTGATTTTAGCGATTATCCCTCACAGACTATTTTACCTTGCCCCCCACCCCTACCCCTCAACTACCTTTGCATTGTAACCCGGTGATCTCCGGCCGGGATGGCAACGATAAAAACAAACGCTAGAAAAACGCAATGTAGCATATTCTCCTTTTTTCGCCCTTTTTATAAAAGCACTTTTGTATCTATGACCTGGCCAGAAAAGGAAAAAAAATCCGTATTTTTGTGTGATGTTTAAACGATAACGCCGTTGACCACTTAGCGATCAGGCATTCAGGTCGCAGCGACATGTCAGCCCGCAACGAAGACAAAAATCCATCTCCAGTGGAAAACCAATTTTATGACTTTAAGGATAAACAACCAAAGTTACAGGGGTAAGGCATATTTTCAGTGTACAATTATATCTAGGTAGCCTATAGCTTTCATCCTCTTCTTAAAGCCACAATATTGATAATGTATGTCTGCAAATGCAAATTGTTAGAAGAAGCGGATCGTCTAGCACGCGTATGATAGTAGTTTTTGTTTGTCTTACGGATTATAGTCTTCAAACGGTCGTAATTCGACTTTGTAGAAATTTTAGAGATTGTTTTGGTGGGGGTCTTAGTTTTCGTAATTACGAAAACTAAGAGGGGTCTTAGTTTTCGAAATTACGAAAACTAAGACCCCTAAATTTACCGTTAAATTGGACCTAAAAATCGGTGGAAAGGATCGAACATGATATAATTTGACAGATCAGACCTATTTCGGTTACAATTTGACTTTATATTTCCACGGATTCGATTTTAGGGGGTCTTAGTTTTCGTAATCTCGAAAACTAAGACGGGTCTTAGGTCTTAGTTTTCGAGGGTCTTAGTCTTCGTAACACCCTCAATATTGTGGCTTTAAGAAGAGGATGAAAGCTATAGGCTACCTAGATATAATTGTACACTGAAAATATGCCTTACCCCTGTAATTTTAGTTGTTTATCCTTAAAGTCATAAAATTGGTTTTTTCACTGGAGATGGATTTTTGTCTGCGTTGCGGGCTGACATGTCGCTGCGACCTGAATGCCTGATCGCTAAGTGGTCAACGGCGTTATCGGTTACTGAACATCACACAAAAATACGGATATTTTTTTTCCGTTTCTGGCCAGGTCATAGGTACAAAAGTGCTTTTATAAAAAGGGCGAATAAAGGAGAATATGCTACATTGCGTTTTTCTAGCGTTTGTTTTTATCGTTGCCACCCCGGCTGGAGATCACCGGGTTACAATACAAAGGTAGTTGAGGGGTAGGGGTGGGGGGCAAGGTAAAATAGTCTGTGAGGGATAATCGCTAAAATCACTCATGAAATAATAATAAAAAAAAAAACGAATGAGTGAATGAATTTCCTGTACTAGCAAAGCATTGTCTCGAGTTTCAGAACAATAAAATAAACACAACAACAACACCAAATGCTTTATTTGCATGACCATAAAGGAATTACAGTATTGCAAAAGCTATTAGTCTAATTTAAGAACTAATTCAACTAATTAGTACGTGCAAAACATTACAAAACGTTACAGTTCTCATTCATTCATTCATTCATTGATATTAATTTGGTTCTTAATTCAAAGCATTGCGAGATAAATGAAACTAATTGACAGTTAATTAAATAATCAGAAGAATTCATAAGAAGAGATATTAAAGTTTCGTGTGAAAGTGATTTGAAGTCAGGTATTTTAGTTTCTAGTTTGGAGAAAAATATGTCTCTGATCTGAGAATAAGCCTTACAATCTATACTTGTACAAAAGTGACATATCCTTTCATTGCGAGGAGCGTTTTCGTATCTACCTGTTTCAATTCTAAGCTGATGACTACTTATTCTAAATCTAACTAATGCTTTTCTCGAAGGGTTTTTTCTTGTTAAAACTAGGTACGGCGAGGGGCTATAGTCGTCTTTGATTGTACAATAAAAACTGAGTTTTTGTGATTGTCGGAAGGGTTTGATTCCAGTAAGAGACGTATTTATTTTTCATTATGCCAATATACCTATTAACTATTGAGTCACTCAATGAATTACAGGAATATTCATAGTTTAGATCATAGTAGTCAACCATTTTCATGAGATTAGAGTAAAAGCTAGTTTTTCCGTTATGATGAAGGTCAATTGAAATTTGTAAGGCCTGTTTAACTATAGAATCTTCATCTTTACCTCTCAGATAGTCTAAGTAATTTAGAATCTTTTTATTTATATCAATGATCACGGGAAATTTACCGAGTTCAGCTCTATAAGCAATGTTGGATGCCTTGTTGGGTACTTGTAAACTAGAAATACGTTTTCGCAAAAATCTCGCGAAGCTAAAAGGGTCAGCTGTGAGAATAAAAAGTAAAAAGCCAAAGGGTAAAAAAACGATGAAAGAAAAAAAAAAAACGGACGTTGCCACGCGGGGATTTGAACGCGCATCCCAACTTCCTCCAGCGAAAACAGTGCGGCCTCTAACCACTGGGCCATGAATTGCAAATGGCTTTTTTTCAATTGCAGAGCTGTCCCAAGACTTAAAATCTGATTTAACAAAAGCACCCCAAACTTCACTGCTGTAGGTTAGAATTGGTGAAATCATCGAGTCAAAAATTTTACACGCAAGTGAGGGCTTAAGACTATTCAAATCCGTGTGCCGTGTGAGGCTGAAGCGCGCATGAAGAGCTTTTTGTCGGAGATGTTCAAGCGAAAGTGTAAAAACACGACAACCGCTGGACACAAACCCCCTCAGGTGATAGTTACAGGTAACGCAATCTCGATCGCAGAGACACAAAGAAAAAACATCCATCTCCAGCATCTCCAGTGGAAAGCCAATTTCATGATTTAAAGGATAAACAAACAAATTAAAGACCAATAGGGGTAAGGCATATTTTCAGTGTACAATAGATACGTAGGAAGTCTATGGCTTTGGTCCTCTTTTTAAAGCGAGTCTTCAAATTGTTAGCGGATCGTAGATCAGCACGCGTATGATAGCAGTTTCTGTTTGTCTTACGGATTATAGTCTTCAAACGGTCGTAATTCGACTTTGTAGAAATTTTAGAGATTGCTTTGGTGGGGGTCTTAGTTTTCGCAATTACGAAAACTAAGGCCCCTAAATTTACCGTTAAATTTGACCTAAAACTCGGTGGGAAGGATCGAACAGAGATCGAACATGATATAATTTGACAGATCAGACCTATTTCGGTTACAATTTGACTTTATATTTCCGGCGACGGATTCGATTTTCGGTGGTCTTAGTTTTCGTAATCTCGAAAACTAAGACGGGTCTTAAGTCTTGGTTAATTTCGAGGGTCTTAGTTTTCGTAACACCCTCAAGGTTCCGCTGCAAGGTAATTAATGCAATGACTGAAATGCCAGTTTCTCTCATTACTGCACACCCAAAAAACGAAACGAAAACGAAGCACCTATCGAAAACGAAGCACCCAAAACTCGAAACTACTGTAGGTTGAATAACTACAATTTTACGTCTAGCATGACGCAATCCCAATCAGGTGGAGGCAGCGGATGCGTTCGCGCCTCCAAAGGTCGACAAAATCCATCCCAAGGTTTTATAAAAAAAAAAGAGGTTAAAGGCATGTTTATAGTGGAAGGTGCACTTAGCTAGTTAGCTAATTTACAGGCACTCCACTCAAATATTTAGAAACAAATAATTCAAATACAATATAACAGGATTAAAAACCCCAACTGACAGAAGGCAACCAGTTGGCTATTTACAAGCGTGGCCGAGAATTTGAACTCGGGACGACCGAGCACAAATCCAGCAAGTGGCCAGAGCGGGACTCGAACCTGGGACCGCCGGATTGCGAGTCCGACGCGCTGACCACTCGGCCACGCTGCCTCCTGCCAACTGTTTAACTGAACGTTTCTAGATAGGATATCCTGTATTAATTTTATTATTAGTCTCCGAGTCGCTATAATTGATACATCTTATCTCAATATGCATTTTTTTTCGGTACACATACATGTTTATGTAGACTTCAAACCTGACGGTATTT